TGGCACATCCACACCGCGTGTCCGGGATGCTCCGTGCTCAGCCGCGTCCCTCCGTGGCACCGTGGCACGTCCGCTCCGTACGCCTAGCCCCCCGGGGGATTTTCGTGGGCCATTTTTCCGTGCCTCCGGGCGGAGCACCCCTGCCCTTTCGGGAGCAGCTGCCGCCGCGGGGACAGCAGGGTGCCCGGTGGCACCGGGCCAGCGAGGGGCCACGTGCCCGGCCCGCCAGGCACACCGGGGGGGGACCGGCTCCCTGCGCGGCTGCCGGAGCCAGACAGTTGTTTAATTTCCCAGGCGCAGGGCGGGAGGGGGATGGAAAGTTTCCCGGGGCCGCCGGGGCCGGGACGGCCGCACGCTTCCTGCTCCGCACCGGGGGCGGCGGAGCCTCGCCACCGGCCCGGGGCTCCCTGAGCCGGGCCATGCTGCCCACCGCGCACTGCTCGCCGGGGGCTTCTCCGGCCACGTCCCCCCGCAATTCTCCCGTCCTCTTCAGGAAGCTCCTGATGAGCCAGAGCATCCGCCTGCAGCGGCGCTTCACCGTGGCGCATCCCCTCTGGTAAGGGGGGGACGCTGCGGGTCCCCGCGGGCCGGTGGCACCGCCCGTGCTGCCGGCCGGGGGACAGCGGCTCTCCCCGGACTTGTGGCACGTCCTCGGGGGGACGACGAGGAGGGGACAGCGGTGTCCCCACGCGCTCAGGGGGAGCCGCCGGACGAGCGGGGCTGAGCACGGACGCGCTCACGGTGTGGCAGCGGTGGCCAGGCAGGGACCCCGGTGGGGACGGAGGGGGACTCTGCCCTCCGAATCAAGGCACCGAGCCTCGCACCGCGGCTCCTCCGTGCCCTCCCCACCCCGCCTCGGAGCTCCGTGGGGTTGGTTTTGGGGTGCCGGCCCCACTTGCTGTGGGGCTCAGCGCATCCCTCCTCTGCAGCGACAGCATCTATTTATAGCGGCCCCAGTCCCCCCCCCGGCACGGACAGCGCTCGGAGGTCATTAGCGCCGAAACGAGGGGGGCTAATTGGGCACCCACCCCGTGGCAGGGGCTCGTGTCCCCCGGGGCTGTCCCCTGCAGTGGCAGCGAGGTCAGGGGTGGTGGCACGGGGCCGGGAACAGGCGCGGGCATCACCCCGCGGGGCCGTCGGAGGGACAAAGCGGCTTTGTGCGGCCGGTACCATCGGGGATGGGAAGCCGAGGCTGGAAAACAAGGGGCTGCGGGGTGGCATGACGCGGTGCCCGCTGGCACCGCCACTGCCGCTGCCGGGGACAGCCACAGCCACCGGCGCCGCCGGAGCGGGACGATGCTGCCGGGCAGCCGGTGCCCGTCCCGGAGGCACTCCTGCATCGGGTAAGCTGCTGGGATCCCGCTGGGGACGCGGTGGCACCAGTGGCATCTGCGCTTCCCCGCTGCTCTGGGGTGGCTCGTCGCCGTCCCCACGGCGGTGGCGGCTGCGGGAGGAGGGGACGGGCGCTGCCGGGTGGCCCTCGCCGTGTCCCCGTTGCGTGCGGCCTTTCCCACGACCAGCAGTGCAGCAGGGTGGGCGAGGCGGCCGCGGGCAGCTCGGGGACACTGCAGGGTCACCATCCCTGCCCCCCGTCCCCCCTGGGTGCACACGGCTGCCAGGTGACTCCGGCTGGGGTGCCCCTGGGCCGCCGCCAGCGTGTCCCCAAAGGCCAGGGCTTGGCTTCTGCGTCGGGTTCTGTCCTTCGATGTCCCCTGGCTCTGTGCCGTGGCTGGATGTTGTCCCCTCCATGGGACACGGCACCTCGAGACGGGGCTGATGGAGGATTTGGAGGACTTGGGACCGTGGTGCTGGTGACAGGTAGGGGGAGGGACAGGCAGGAGCCAGCCCCTCCTGAGGTCCCTGGAGCTGGCAGCTTCAGGGCAGTGGGTCCTGTCCCACCCGGGTGACACGGGACAGCCTGGCTCTGCTACTCAGTGTCCCAGAGCCCGCTGTGCCAGCAGGAGCTGAGAGGGTCTGCACCGAGCTCTGCCCATTCGAGCCAGACCGGGCACCGGTGTCACCACAGGGTCACCGAGCCAGGGTGTGCTGGACAGAGCGAGATGGTGGCACACAGACCCCGACAAACCCGGCGGCATCCCCTGGGCTGAGGTCCCTGTGCCACTCACCCCGCGCCAGCCTTGTCCCCTCTCCCCTCACAGCTTTGACCTGGAGAATGGCCCCCCCGGCCGGGGCAGCCTGGACCCCCAGGCCAGCCCGGGCGCGGGGCTGGTCCTGCAGGGCACCTTCTCGCACGGCCAGCGCCGCGAGTCCTTCCTGTACCGCTCCGACAGCGACTACGACCTGTCCCCAAAAGCCATGTCCCGCAACTCCTCCATCGCCAGCGACCTGTGAGTGTCCCCCCAGCCCGCACCCCGCATCCCCCGGGACAACCCTCCCCTCCCCGAGCCTCACGCTCCCTGTGCTCCCGCAGGCATGGAGAAGACATGATCGTCACCCCCTTTGCCCAGGTAGGTGCCACGGGGGACGCAGGAGGGGACACGGCCTGCGGCCAGCAGCGGGGCGGGTGGCCCGGGGGGCTCCGCCCGACCCCAGCCCCCTGTCACCCCCCAGGTCCTGGCCAGCCTCCGCACCGTCCGCAGCAACCTCAGCCACCTCCAGGAGCGCGCTGGCATCAAGTGAGCGGGCTGGGCGGGAGGGCGAGGATGTCACCCGAGTGGGGACCCCGGCCCACGGCGACCGGGGCTGGTGGAGGGCACCGCTGTGGGGGTCGCGGGCACTGAGCCCCCCGTGTTTCCCAGGCGGGGATCGAGCAGCAGCCTGCCCTCGGCGAGCAAGGCCGGCCTCTCCGGTGAGTGCGGGCGGGGGGGCAGATTTTGGGACGAGCTGTCCCCGCGTCCCCGGGCTGTGTCCTGCCGTGCCCTGGGGGCGCAGCATCCTCCGCCCCGCCGCCAGCCAAGGCAGAGCCGCGGCTTTGCCCTTTGGGGATCCGTGTCTGGTTTTCGGCAGCTCCTCCCGCCCGGCCGCCCTTCGCGGCGGTGGAAAAGCTCCCGTTGACGTCAAACCTTCCATTAATAAAAGCCCGGCGGTGAGCGGGGCCCCGCGGGAGCGCGGCTGCCCCCGGGGCTGGCTGCCACCCCACGGGACAGCGTGGCACGCCGCGTGCCGGGGCCGCCACGCCACGGGGACAGCGTGCCCGGGCCGAGCCCACCGCCCCGGGATGCCTGACCCCGACCCCCGCGTCCCCCCGTGCCCCCCGTGCCCCGCTCGGGGGATGCTGCGAGCCCCCCGGCTTCGCTGCGGCACCGGGTCCCCCGTGCCCGGTGGCCGCGCTGCTGGCAGGTCCCTTGCCAAGCTGGCGGGTGCCCCCAGCAGAAGATGCCCACCAGAAGCTCTCGAGGGAGACCCTGGAGGAGCTGGATTGGTGCTTGGAGCAGCTGGAGACGCTGCAGACCAGGCACTCGGTCAGCGAGATGGCCTCCAACAAGGTAAGGGACCTTGCCACGGTCAGCCTGGCGGGCGCGGGGACCCCAGAGCCCCCCGGGGTGGGGGTCCTGGCAGCCCCCCACGCCGCTGACCCTGCCAACCACCCGCAGTTCAAGCGGATGCTGAACCGGGAGCTGACGCACCTCTCGGAGACCAGCCGCTCCGGGAACCAGGTGTCCGAGTACATCTCCAGCACCTTCCTGGGTGAGCACCCCCCGCCCCGGGGTCACCTCCCCGCTGGCACCGGCGTGGCCTTTGTGTCCCCAGAGAGCTGGGCTGCCCGTGGGGGTGATGCCAGCAGAGGGTCCCGCTTGCTTCTTGTAGAGGGTTGGAGTGGGGGGGACCAGGGGGCTTGTCCCAGGTGTCCCAGTGGGATTTGTCCCACAGATGCCACAGCACGCGTCCCAGCTGGGAGTGCTGGCTCATACTGGTGTATACTGGTGTATACTGGTGCACTGGGGCTGTTGGGGCACCCCTGAAGGAGCGTCCAGGGGTCCCCTGGCAGATGTGTGGGCTGTGGATGGGGTAAAGTGCCGCAGCCCCCCAAATTGTCACGGCGTGACCCGTGCCTGCCCCCAGCGTGACCCGGGGAGACGCCGGCAGTGACGTTCAGGCTCCTGCCCTGCTCACGGCCACCCCGTGTCACCCCAGACAAGCAGCACGAGGTGGAGATCCCCTCGGCCCTGGCGAAGGACAAGGAGAAGGAGCGGAGGAAGCGCCCCATGTCGCAGATCAGCGGCGTCAGGAAGCTCAAGCACGGCTCCAGCCTGGCCGCCGCCGGCATCCCCCGCTTCGGGGTGCGCACGGACCACGAGGCGCTGCTGGCCAAGGTGGGTCCTGGCAGGGGTGACCCCCACCCCGACCGCGGGGTCCCCAGCACCAGCCCCCCATGGATCTCTGTCCCTCTGCTCCCCAGGAGCTGGAGGACACCAACAAGTGGGGTCTGGACGTCTTCAAAGTCGCCGAGTACTCGGGGAACCGCCCGCTGACCGTCATCATGTACAGCATCTTCCAGGTGAGCGTCCCACCGCGGTGTCCCCGGCCCTGGTGTGGCCGGACGGGGACGAGCCACCTCCTGCCTGCCCGCAGGAGCGTGACCTGATGAAGACCTTCCGCATCCCCGTCAACACCTTCATCACCTACATGCTGACGCTGGAGGACCACTACCACGCCGACGTGGCCTACCACAACAGCCTGCACGCCGCCGACGTGGCGCAGTCCACGCACGTCCTGCTCTCCACGCCCGCGCTGGAGGTGATTCCTGCTCACCCCAGGCCACCCGGGCGTGCCTGGCGGGGCCGTAACGCGTCCCCAACGCCTCTTCCCGCCGTTCCTAGGCCGTCTTCACGGACCTGGAGATCATGGCTGCCATCTTTGCCAGCGCCATCCATGATGTCGACCACCCCGGGGTCTCCAACCAGTTCCTCATCAACACCAGTGAGACGGGGCGCAGGGATGGACCTGGGGGATATTGGGGGACCCCAGGAGTCACCCCGGGGTGACCAGTGCCGTCTCACAGACTCGGAACTGGCCCTGATGTACAACGACGCCTCGGTGCTGGAGAACCACCACCTGGCCGTGGGCTTTAAGCTCCTCCAGGAGGAGAACTGCGACATCTTCCAGAACCTGAGCAGGAAGCAGAGGCAGACGCTCCGGAAAATGGTCATCGACATGGTATGGGGGGGCCAGAGCACCCCAGGGTGGGGTCTGCGCTGGGGGGTCAGGCTGAGACCCGTTCCCACCTCTCCCTGCCCAGGTGTTGGCCACGGACATGTCCAAGCACATGAACCTGCTGGCGGATCTGAAGACCATGGTGGAGACCAAGAAGGTGACCAGCCTGGGGGTGCTGCTGCTGGACAACTACTCTGACCGGATCCAGGTGGGGACGCGCCTGGGGAATCCTTCCCAGCGCCGCAGGTGTCCATCCTCGCTCTGGCCTGCTGGGATTTGGTGCCACCGCCACCCCAAACCCAACCGGCGGGGCCAAGCGAGCTCGTGGCACGGTGTGGGTGGCCCTGGGGGACAGAGGACACGGCGTCCGCAGGTCCTGCAGAACATGGTGCACTGCGCCGACCTCAGCAACCCCACCAAGCCCCTGGAGCTGTACCGGCAGTGGACCGACCGCATCATGGTGGAGTTCTTCCACCAAGGAGACCGGGAGCGGGAGAAGGGCATGGAGATCAGCCCCATGTGTGACAAGCACACCGCCTCCGTGGAGAAGTCCCAGGTGGGGCGGCAGCCTGGGGGACGGGGCAGGGGGACGCAGGGCCGGGCGGGGGGCTCAGCTCTGCGTCCCCCCAGGTGGGATTCATCGACTTCATCGCCCACCCGCTGTGGGAGACGTGGGCCGACCTGGTGCACCCCGACGCCCAGGAGCTGCTGGACACGCTGGAGGACAACCGGGAGTGGTACCAGAGCATGATCCCACGCAGCCCCTCGCCTCCACCCGAGCCGCCCGCGCCGTCCCCCGCCAGCACCGACAAGTTCCAGGTCGAGCTGACGCTGGAGGAGGAGGAGGAGGACGAGGAGGGTGAGTCGGACACGGAGCTGGAGGGCGCCGAGAGCCCCTTGGATGAGGACAACAGCGGCTCCAAGACACCGGGCACGGATGACTCGGAGCCTGCCCACGCCAAGCGCCTGTCCCCCGGCCCCAGCGACCGGGACTCGCCTGTCCCCCGCCCCAGGGACGTGGACAACCGGCAGGCGCTGCAGGGGACGCTGCCCAAGGACGGTGGCAGCGGGTGCTCAGTGCCAGGGCCCGCGGGCAGCCAGGGGCTGTGCCTGGACACAGAGGGCAACGTCACATTCCTGTCCCTGGGCACGTAGCGCCACCGGCCCGGGGGTCCCCTGGCTGCCGGGGGGACGTGGGACTGGGCACGGCCCTGGGGACAGCAGGGAGCTGGCACTGGGCAGCACTGGCACTGCAGGAGCTCGGAGGCACCTGGGACGCGTCCCCATTCAGGACCTGCACAGGTCCTGGCAGGTAGGAGGACGCTGCTGGTCTCCCCGGGCAAGGGCCCTGTCCCCTTCAGCCGGGGCGTGGGGACACCCCAGCCCTGGGGACATCACGGCCCAGGGGCTGCAGCAAGGAGCATTCCAGCGCCTTTCCGGGTGTCCCCTTGCAGGAGGGCAGCCCCGTGGTGGGACGAGGTGGGCAGAGGGTGCTGGCGACACCCCCAGCACCAGGCACCGGCGCACGGCACGGGCACGGCTCAGAGCTTTATTTATTTGGGGATGGGTTCACTTTTTAAAGCCTTTTGTAGCTCACTTTTTACTACGGGCCTCCCCGAGGCACGCACGCATTTTTTGGGGGGCGGAAAGATGCAATTTTTTCGGGGAGGAAACTTGCATTTCTGCTCTGCGATCGCTCCAAATGCCATTTGCATTTCACATTTGGGACCTTGGCGGGCGCTGTCACCAACCCCCTCACCTCCATCTCCGCTGTCCTGCCTGGGGCAGGGTCCTTTGGGATTCTTCTTCACCTCCCAGAGATTAAACCCGGTTTGTTCCACCCTAAACACGAGCCTCGTAAGCGCCTCTTTGTGTCACGGGAGCCGCAGCCGATGTCCCCAGGGAGCGCAGCGGTGGTTGGTGGCACCGGGCAGGGCCAGGCTCGGTGCTGGAACAAAATCCAGCTCCTCCCTGGAAACGCCGATCCATCACCGGCAAACACGACCTGCTAAGGTAAATATTTAATCGCCGGCTTGGCGCGGTGCGGAGCCCGTTCCCGGCTCTTCCGCGTTGCTCCCCACGCTGATTTATCTCCACAAACACGTCCCCACCCACGGCGCTGCCCTGGCACCTGGGGCCCTCGCCCCCTGCCCGCCCTGGCAGCAGCGGGGCCTCGGGAGCTGCCGGTTCTTCCCCAGCCCAAACCTCCTGCAGGGCCCTGCACGGCGTGGCCGTGGCTCCGGGCCAGCCCTGCTGGGTGCTGGGGTCCCCTTGTCTCTCCAGAGGATCTCCAATTCCCCGAATCCAGAGCCAGCCCGGACTCTGCCAGGCTGGAGCGGGGCAGCTGGAAAAAGCCCTTTTTTCCCCCATTTCTGGCTGAGGGGCTGTTGGCTGGGGAAGGTGATGGAAAATGGCCACAGCAACCTGGCTCCATCCCTAATTCTGGAACCATCCCTAATTCTGGAACCATCCTTGAGCCTGGATCCATCCCTAATTCTGGCTCCATCCCTAATTCTGGCTCCATCCCTAATTCTGGAACCATCCCTAATTCTGGCTCCATCCCACAGCTGGCTCCATCCCTAATTCTGGATCTGTCCTATAGCTGGACCCATCCCTAATTCTGGCTGCATCCTACAGCTGGATCCACCGCTAATACTGGATCCATCCCTAATTCCGGATCTGTCCTAAAGCTGGACCCTCCCCGATTCTGGATCCATCCCTGAGCCTGGATCCATCCCTAATTCTGGCTCCATCCCACAGCTGGATCCATCCCTAATTCTGGCTCCATCCCTGATTCTGGATCTGTCCTATAGCTGGACCCATCCCTAATTCTGGCTGCATCCTACAGCTGGATCCATCCTTAATTCTGGATCCATCCCTAATTCTGGCTCCATCCCCAATTCTGGCTCCATCCCACAGCTGGATCCATCCCTAATTCTGGCTCCATCCCTGATTCTGGCTGCATCCTACAGCTGGCTCCATCCCTAATTCTGGCTCCATCCCTGATTCTGGATCCATCCCTGATTCTGGCTCCATCCCTGATTCTGGATCCATCCCTGATTCTGGCTCCATCCCTGATTCTGGATCCATCCCTGATTCTGGCTCCATCCCCAATTCTGGCTCCATCCCCAATTCTGGCTCCATCCCCGTGTCCAGCTCGGTGCCCCCGGGGCCGGGGGTGTGGGATGAGCCGGGGCAGGAGGCAGGAGCGGCAGCGGGAGGGAAGGCACGGGGCCGGGCCGGGCCGGGCGGAGCCGTGCGGTGCCCGGAGGCTCCGGGCAGGACCGGGAGGCTCCGGGCCGGGCCGGGCGGTGCCGTGCCCCGGGGCCGCCATATGCTGCCGGCCCTAATCCCGCCGGAGCCTCAGGGCGGCGGAGGACATGGCCGCCCACCTGCGCACCGGCCCCGCCTCAGTGCCAGCCGCCCCGCCACGGCACGGATCGGCCTGCCCGCCACCGCCGGCCTCGGGGAAGGCGTCGCGATAGGCGCCATGTCGCGACAGGGAGGCTGTCAAAACTCGCCCCCCCCCTTTTGGGCGGGAATGGTTCGCCCCGCACCCCCGCCGGCGCAGGGGTGGTTCATCCCGCGGCCCGCGCAGCGCGGCCGGACCGCACCACTGCGCGCTGCCGGAGGGGGGGGCGGCGCCCACCACCGCGCCGGGAGGGGGGGGTCTCCTCCCCCGCGTCCGCCCGCCGTCCATCAAAGCGCGCCGCCGAGCCAATCAGCGCCTCCCTCAGGGGCGCGCCCATGACGTGCGAGCTGATTTACATAAGAGGGCC